AGTGTGAATGAATGGTTTCAGCAGGGGTTGGGGTGGTGAAGAGAGGTTGGTTAATGGGCACAAACATACAGTTAGGTAGAATTAAGAGTTTCTAATGTTGATTGCAGAGTAGAGTGATTGTAGTAACAGCAATGTATCATAATTTTCAAAATAGCTAGAAGAGAAAGCAGGCAATGCACCAGCACATAGAAATGATAAAAACTTGGGTGATAGATATCCCAAATACCCATACTTGTTTATTACACATTCTCTACATGTAACCAAATTTCACATGTACCCCATAAATATGTACATATATTTTTATAGTAAAAAAATTAAAAATGAATTTTAAAAATCTTGAAATTGCAGTATCTGAGTAACGGATATATGGGGTTTCACTACTACCTTATCTATTTTGTTTATTTTAAAAAATTATTTATAAAGGTTTTTAAAGTGTGAAAAAAAATCCTATAGAGTGTATCATACCAAATCTATGATATTCTAGAACAAGCAAGACTATAGAGACAATGCAAGGATAAGTTGTTGTTGGAGGTTCATTGGAACGAGGAAGAGGGATGACTAGATGGGACACAGGGGCATTTTGGGAGGGTGAAACTATTCTATGTGATACTGTAAGAGTGGATACATGACATTATGTATTTGTCAATATCTACAGAATGTGAAACAAAGAATGAACCCTAGCTAAATTGTAAATTTTAGTTAATAATAATATATTAACATACATTCATCAGTTGCAGCACGTGTACCACATTACAAGATGTAAACAATACAGAAAACTTTGGGGAGGTTAGTGGATATGTGAGAACTCTGTATTTTCTTATCAATTTTTTTTGGTAAAACATAATAATATTCTAAAACATAAAGCCTATTAATTTAAAAATATGCAAGCTATTTGAAAATACACTTCAATAAAAAAGATATACAGATCACAAAAATATATGAAAAGATGCTCAGCATAATTTATCATTGGGGAAGTGCAAATTAAACCACAATAAGACTCTACTACAAACTAATTAGAGTGGCTAAAAAATCCTAAAATATCAGATATAAGAGATAATGTGAAACAAAAGGAACTACTCTCATTTATTGCTGGTTGGAAAAATATATAGAGAGCTCGTTCGATGAAAGCATTGTATTATCTGATTTATAGATATTCTGAAAAAGGTAAAAAGATACAAAAAACAGATCACCATTACTACGGACTTGGAGGAGGCTGTTAGTTGACTACAAAGGTGAGGCATAGGGGATTCAACCCAACTTGCTGTGCATGTCAGTAGTTTATTCCTCCTTGTTGGTCTATAGAATTCCATTGTGTGCATGCACCTCAATTTGTTAATCCTTTCACTTACAGAAAGACATTTCATATTTTTCAGCTTTTGGAAGTATGAATGGAGCTACTAGAAACATTCACATATAGGTTTTTGGCCCGGGCACGGTGTCTCATGCTTATAATCGCAGTACTCTGGGAAGCTGAAGCAGGAGGATCTCTTGAGCCCAGGAGTTCAAGCCAAGCCTAGGCAACATAGTGAGCCCTCATCTCTACAAAATAAATAAACACATAAATACATAAATAAGATAATAAAAATTAATGTACAGGTTTTTGTGTGAACATAAGGTTTCTAAATTTATTTCACCCAGTAATGGTATTTCTGAGTCATATGGTAAGTGTATGTTTATAATGAGATCATGTTCTTTGCAGGAACATGGATGGAGCTATAGGCGATTATTCTTAGGAAACTAACGCAGGAACAGAAAACAAAATACTGCATGTTCTCGCTTATAAGTAGGAGCTAAATTATGAGAACACATGGATGCACAGAGAGGAACAACGCACACTGAAGCCTATCGGAGGTTGGAGGGTGGGAGCAAGGAGAGGATCAGGAAAAATAACTAATGGGTACTAGGTTTAATACCTGGGTGATGAAATAATCTGTACAGCAAACCCCCATGACACAAGTTTACCCATGTAACAAACCTGCATATGTACTCCTGAACTTAAAATAAATGTTTTTTTTTTTTTAAAGAAATCTGAGGGAAATAAAAGAAATTTTCAGATAGTGACTGCACAATTTTACACTCACACAGGAAACGCAATAATGTTCAAGATGCTCTTCATCCTTGCTAGCAGTTAGTAATGTCAGTATATTTTTCAGCAGTCCTCAAAAATATAATGCATCTACCTTGATTTTACTTTGTTTTTCTCTAAAATCTAATGATGTAGGATAATTTTTCATGTGCTTATTTAATATTTGTATGTCAATTCTAGAAAAGAGTCTATTGATGTATTTTGCCCATTTTAAAAATGTTTTCTAATTTTTGGATTTTTTTTTAATTATACTTTAAGTTCTAGGGTACATGTGCACAACATGCAGGTTTGTTACATATATATACATGTGCCATGTTGGTGTGCGGAACCCATTAACTTGTCATTTACATTAGGTATATCTCCTAATGCTATCTCTCCCCCCTCCCCTCCCCACAATAGGACCCGGTGTGTGATGTTCCCCTTCCTGTGTCCAAGTGATCTCATTGTTCAATTCCCACCTATGAGTGAGAACATGCGGTGTTTGGTTTTCTGTTTGGCAGTAGGCCACTTTTCCAACATGATGTTCCTACCTCATTGAGCAGATTGGCAAGTTCTTCCATTTTGTTTGTGTCCTCGATGTATTTCACTGAGCCACTCTGCGTTTGATCTCTTGCAATAGAGAGTTCCTTTACACCTGGCCATCTGTTATGTTATTCCTAGTATTCCTACTTCTCTCTTGAAAAGCCTATTTGTGAACTTGTCGGATGCACTCATGGGCATCTTGCCGCTGTCGTGTTTGTCTGTTATGCGGTGTATGAGGAATCGCTTGGATTTTGCCACATTGGACTTTGTAGCCTCTTGACACTTGTTTGCTGATAGTCTCCTTTATCAGCTTCCAAGGAGATTTTTGGGCTGAGGACACTGGGGTTTTCTAATCACCTCACAACTTCCATTTCATTCTGAAAGCAGGACATTTTTGACTCTTTCCTTTCCTAGATTGATACCTGATTTTCTTTTCTCTTTGCCTGATTGCCTACGCCAGAATCCAACACTTATGTTGAAGTAGGAGTAGTTGAGATAGGGCATCCCCTGTCTCGTGCAGTTTTCCATTAAGGATATCGCTTCCAGTTTTGTTTCCCATTTATTGTTTTATTGGCTTGTGGTTCTTGTCATACATAGCTCTAATCATTTGCAGATATTTACGGTCCATCAGTACCTAAATTATACTTGGCATTTTTTTCTAGTCATGAAACGCGTGCTGTTGTTGAAGTTTTTGTAG